ATTTACCTTTTTTTGTTGAGGTCTGAGTATTCTTTCATCTTCTTTTCTCTTATGCTTTTTCTATCAGAAGCTCTCGAGTGGAAGGGATAGTAATGCAGTAGGAATGGCCACACTTCATATCGTACTTCTGGGAACACACCACCGAAAAATACCTCCTGGTTTAAATGTAAAAGTGTAAGTAAATTCCTTGATTGATAGAAGTTAGAGCCAGTAGGCTATGCACTTAATTATTAATACTGGGGATGGTGTATTATGTCGCACCTTGATAAACCTGCTCACCCATTGAGCTGTAATGCTCCACCCACATGCAACTGGCTTTATTAATGATACTCTGTCTAATGTCAGACAATTTTACTTGTTAAGGGGAGAGTCTTGCATGTTACTGGGAAAGAGTATTGGCCTTTTGGAGAGTAAAATTGTCAGCTTTATCAGTCAGCATATTAGTCAACACCAATGTCACACAAACATAATTCACTAAATATTTTGCTTGATATTCAGAATAGCAATGTAGTTTTCCAATACACCTTTCTGCAAAGCATGCCATTTTGGCTATAGAGCCGGGCTATGGACCCTCATTTTCGTGTATGTGAGATTAGTTAACCGATTCAGTGGCACTACTCTCCCCCTGACAAGTAAAATCGTCTGGCATTAGACAGTCTAAAGTATGTAGGGCGCATTGCCTTACAGGGTCTCTTTACCAAGACAAAGCTTACGGTAGACATGTTTGGTAGCACAGGAGATTTTACTTACACACTGGATTTCAAGTACTATAGGAATTCCTTTAGGAAACTATAGGAATTCCTTTAGGAAATCCAACAGAAGTAAGCAGTCGAACCTCAACTTACAGTAACATGCTTAACTCGGCATTAAGTGGGTACCTAACCACATTTTCCAAACGTAATTTCAAGGACAGTAATACGGAAAGTGATATTAATTAATGGGACACAAGGTTAAATATTAACATATTAGGTTCCGCATTAAAATAATTACGCCACGTAAGCTAATACTTAATATATATACAATCACAACATATTATACCTTGCGAAAATTAGGCACATCTTCGAGTTGCCCAGCTTTGTTGAGAAACGTTTTCCATCTAGCTTTAGTCATCGGATAATACCGACTTTCCTCGAAGCTTTGATTTGGCGAGATCGAATATATGGGCACAACAGCAAACGCTTTTTTTCTGGCTCGCTCTTCGTCGGGTAGTCTCATCTTTTTACACAGGCTCCAATTTTCAAAAATTTCAACTAAATGATTCATTCCGCCCAAATCAAAATGAAACACTTTGTAGTGATTTTCATGATTGCCCACTACAAAATGACCAGAGGTCGTATCTTCTTTGAAGAAGAACTTCAAAGATTTCATTTCCGTCAAGTCTATGTGAAAGACACCAGGGAACGATTCATTTATAAAATTTTCATCATTAGTGGTCATAGGTCGAATTTGTTCATCTGTTACGTAACTTTCCTGCAGAAAGGCATTCGATGTCCAGTGTAGGATTAATCTAGTGTATTCATCGTTGATCGTACAAGCTTTTAACGTCAAATAGCCCGGTATGTTCTTGCCATTGAAAACACAAACATTGTTCTTGCAAAATATGGTCTCCCCTTGATCGCTTTCGTCCGAGTCTTTGTAAAATCGTGGTAGATTCTGCTTCCTAGTGCTTTGCCGTTCTCTGGCTTTCATATTTCCAATAACAAACAACATAAGCCGACTTGTTTCCATATTTACTGTGGCAAAATTTGTTTAAAAACAATAAATATTGCCTAATTTGGAAAAGTGTGTAATCTTTAATTTTGCAATTGTTTGCAATATACTCTTTGTTTATATCACGCTCGTGGGCATCGCGTGGACTTCCGTTTCCGGTTGTGCAACTCGTGACGCAGAATTTGTTAATGAGCCAAAATTGCGCAAATTAATAAATTATTGAGTGATTTTTAGTTTTTTGAGGTTTAAAGTCCTCGAAAATATGAGAAAAGGTGCGTTTACTACGATACAAAAAAATAGGATGGCTAATATCTTGGTATCTCATGTATATCAATAATTAAAACAGGCATTGGAGAGGTCACGGGTGTAATTGTTTTGATGACATATTAGGCAAGGTGTCATTGTTTTGAAGTCCCATTTCCGGTTCTTACTGTTTCGAAACCTAAATTATTCCCACATATCTTGGGAGGGGAACTGAAAACTAGCGTAGAATTATAGAAGTTTTTTCATCAAGCTACTGACAATATTCACTCAATCTGCCTTTCAAAAAATACAAACCAGGCGAAGTTTCTCATTTTCTGCAGAAATTTTTCAAAAATGAGTCAGTAACAAGTTTTGCCAATGCCATCATAGTTAGTAGAAAATAAACGTGGTTTGGAAGCTTGACAAAAGTCATTGTTCTATGTTTTTGTCCAAGTTTATGGAAATTTGTGTACTCGGATTCTGTATAATAAGGCGATTACCCAATAAGAACCTTAGTTTCAATCGCTCAACCGTAATATTTGAATATTAATAAACGCAAGACAAAAGATGTGTGCACTCGGAACTACATTTCAACATCAGTTGAAGTTTGAATAGGAAATTCTTTGAAGTTTACCGGCCTTCCTAACCATGTTTATTTCTATTAACTATGATGCCATATAGCCGAAGCGGTATGGTTTTCAGAAGTTAGTTTCATATTCAAATCAAAATAAACATCTTTAGTATTTTTGCCCAAGTGAACATAACAAATCCTACAAGTTGATTGGTCAAATTTGACGTATTAAGCTGTTATATTCACCTACAGGTGAATATAACAAAACCGAAATTTTCAAAATGGCGGCTAGCCGTTTTGTGGACGTTATACTCATAAAGAAGTAAGCGAAATTAAAATAATTTCAGTCCCAAAAAACACAAAAATACTAAACAATTATTCGCCTTAGGCTCGGTGATTATCGGGGAATATTCACCTCGACTTCGTCTCGGCAAATATTCCCCGATAATCACCTCGCCTTCGGCGAATAATTAAATATTTTAGTATACAATATATATTTGCAAATTGTTCACAAACAACGCCAAAATATTTTAATACAAACTTTCGTATATGATAATTAAAAATATATTATATAATTTTATACATTATACTGCTATATGCTACACAAATTAAATTCGACACTGCACACGTAAAACGCGCAAATTGTTACGGAGGGGGTGGGACCCCCCCAAAAATAAAAACGAATCATCTGGATTGGCAGGGCAATGGCAAAGAGTTTCAATGATAGAATGTAGAGTTATTAAGTAACTTACAGGGCTTTCAGAGGGAATTGAATAGAATTTATAGATCTAAATTTTACAGATATTGGTCCAAAAATAAGGGGGTTTCACACATGTTTTAACAGGAATTTGTACGGAAAAATATTTTTGACCGTTTATTTAACTGGTAAAATAAATAGAAAAAAAAGAGAAAAAAAAAAGAAAAAAAGAGAAAAATAGTGGCCAGAAAAAAAATTGCTGCAGGGCACCCTCGGTTTTGGCAGGGCAATTCTGGCAGACACCCCCCCCCCCTCCCGAATTAAAAGGGGCTAGTTTCGCCCCTGGTGACAAGTCTGGAACAAGTTGTTATCACCTTTCTACAAGGTTGATAACGGTAACAGACTTGCTGCAAGTTGTTCCAACAAGACGCAGTAATACAGGCTTGTCAAGATGTTACAAGAACAAGATGGTAACAATTGTTACAAGATGATAACAACTTGTTCGAGACTTGTCAACAACTGGGAACAAGCAGTGCGAACACATCTTGTCGACACGCTGCGTGGTTTTTACGCGTGTAGTAGCGAGAGTAATATTTCATTCTTAAAGTTTAGAAACAAGATGGCCAATTTGTTCTTTTAATTTTTGTATGGAGTGAATACTGGATACTAAGCCATCAGCAAAAAGTGACTTGAGTTTTTCCAGATATATTTCCCATTGTACGTCTTGGTAAGCAATATTTTGCACTTTCATTTCATTTAGTAACCTCCATAACAATTTCAGAGCCGCCCAACGAACATCCAATGGCATACCTTTATCTATCAAATAAATAGCTCTATCAGTTCTAAACAGAGGTCCAAGTCAGAACACAGTTTCCTTTATTCATCCGGTATTACTACAAGAGGAAACCTAAACTAACTCTTTATTTTTACTGTATATCTCTATCAGTTCTAAACTGTTCTTCCTAGAGGTTAGTAAAGGTCATTCCTTTATTGATCCAGTGTTACTACAGGAAGAAACGTAAACTAAACTAACTTTATTTTTACTGTATATCTCTATCAGTTCTAAACTGTTCTTCCTAGAGGTTAGTAAAGGTCATTCCTTTATTGATCCAGTGTTACTACAGGAAGAAACGTAAACTAAACTAACTTTATTTTTACTGTATATCTCTATCAGTTCTAAACTGTTCTTCCTAGAGGTTAGTAAAGGTCATTCCTTTATTGATCCAGTGTTACTACAGGAAGAAACGTAAACTAAACTAACTTTATTTTTACTGTATATCTCTATCAGTTCTAAACTGTTCTTCCTAGAGGTTAGTAAAGGTCATTCCTTTATTGATCCAGTGTTACTACAGGAAGAAACGTAAACTAAACTAACTTTATTTTTACTGTATATCTCTATCAGTTCTAAACTGTTCTTCCTAGAGGTTAGTAAAGGTCATTCCTTTATTGATCCAGTGTTACTACAGGAAGAAACGTAAACTAAACTAACTTTATTTTTACTGTATATCTCTATCAGTTCTAAACTGTTCTTCCTAGAGGTTAGTAAAGGTCATTCCTTTATTGATCCAGTGTTACTACAGGAAGAAACGTAAACTAAACTAACTTTATTTTTACTGTATATCTCTATCAGTTCTAAACTGTTCTTCCTATAGAAAGGTCATTCCTTTATTGATTCAGTGTTACTACAGGAAGAAACGTAAACTAAACTAACTTTATTTGTACTGCATATAGCTCTATTAGTTTCAAACTGTTCTCCCTAGGCCTAGAGGTCCAGCAAAGGTCATTAATGCCTTTATTGATTCAGTGTTACTACAAGAGGAAACCTACACGGTACTAACTTTATTTATTCATCCATGTTTATACTGCATAGCTCAGACAGTTCTAAACTGTTCTGTCTATATATAGAGGCCGGTCATTCCTAGTTGGTCCAGTGTTATATTTCGGGCAGGAACCAGAGTACCTACAGAAAATCTGCGATGTTTAGTAGGGTCAAATTTGAACTATTACTTCTCGCATGCTACAATGAAGAAATTATAGTCGGTTTTTTTTTCAGGATTCTCTCTTGGGTCCGTTTTTGCAGAGAAGATGGAGTGTGTTAAAGCAGAGGCACTAAGGGACACTATAAACTGGTTAAAGATGGCGAATGCGTAGTTTTTCTTGTGTTGTGAGTTAAATTCCAGCCATTTTTTCTTAATTATCGGGTCCCCAACTGAAAACTAATTTCCACACGTCACAAATTTAACTCAAACAACTTCGTTTTTACTGCACTGAAACTTTGGTGAGAAGATTGAGTTATTTGGGGCCGTTTTACGACCCTACAGAATCCCTGGAAAAAGCCCCTGATAGTCATGCATGCAGGTACGACTGTAGAGTGTAGGTGACTACTTTTCGGAATTGTGTATTATTCTAAATCATACCTAATTCAGACTCTTTCATTTCTGGCAGGCACTTTACACAAACTTGGAGAAAATATTTTAGATATCTGGACTGACAAGCTGACCAGGCCACGGCTTTATTGGCAGCGGTTTGAAGTAATTTGATTAATATGAAGGCATCCCGTTTTGATATCCAAATATCAAAAAGTTGTTTTATATGTGACAATGTATCGATTCGTTCTGTGTTTGTGAGGCTGGACCAGAAATTTGGAATATTCAGGGTCCTCTTTAAACCTTCTGCAGCCACCTGACAATTGACAAAACACAAAGAACAGCAGTTTTATGTGGAAGTAGTTTTATATGGAACAGTAGTTTTAAAGGAAATACTGTATACTGTACAATTTCCGTATTTTCAACTCTCTATTACAGATGCCTCGCTATTTTGGACATCCTCCATTTCCCGACAAAATCCTCATACATTTTCTTTGAAAAAAACCTAGTATATAACATTGACCCTTTCTAACCGTACGCATAAATTTAACCTCGTCGTTAAGTTGTTTAACACCGTGATCATGATGATGATCATATTGTAATTTTCCCACTGTAGTTCGTTTCAATCATCGAAAACAGTTATTCATTCAGTACAGTTATTGTACAGTATGTTGGGTAATGTTAGCTGATTTGGAAAATGATTTGGAAGGCGGTTGGATCGGGTTTGACTTTGTCTAAAATTTCCATACAACATTGTGTAACGTTTGACAAATACGGGCGATCATTGAACACGTAATTCTCGCACCATTACGGAATCGTTTCAACAAGGCTTTTTTTAAAAGACACTCGGTTTATTTGCTGAACACTTAAATAGTGTCAGTGAAGTTTTAAAAGTTACGTCATCATAATGACACGGGCACCTCGCTATAGCAGCGATACTTTACTCTTTCTGTTTGGGGTGTCAGTATTAGAGAGGCTGAGTATTTAAATTGTAAAATTATATTTGCTCTGGTCAACTTGTGTATTTACCTGTTGTATGAAGGAGTGCATTTTGTTGTTTAGTAGGACACCGAAGACAGTGTTTAAAGAGAGGAGAGCTAAAGGAAACCATTGATTCAGTTGTGCAAGTTTACATGACCACTCAGTCGCAATGGAACACATAGATGAAAGAGCAATACTCTGGCAAATGGTTAGTCTGAAAATAATACATAACAATCAACAATTTCATTATCCAAAAATGATAGTTGAATGGCTATGAAGCAAATTTGAGAATGGTAAGCTTATACTGACTTATAATACCCTGCATAAGTTCCTTGGCTTAGTCCTTACCCATAGTTACTTTTGTCTTCAGTTTTAGTTATTATTGTTAACAGATTTTTACAGGAAATCATAACTATATAAGAAACAAATCAGTACTTTATGACAAATTTTTCATCTTCATATTTGGGGAAAATACAGCCCAGTCCCCAGAATTGAATTTTTCATGCGGAAACTGACTCGCGAGTTATACATTTGACTGGGATTTTCTACAGAGGGAAACATTTTCCATGCTGTAGCAAATCCCAGTCAAACGTTTGCAAAAAAACTAAATATTCAAAACGTTGTACCTCGTTATCTTAAATCGTCCAATTAATTTAAACAACGTGACATTTTGGTTGTAGACTAACTTGAGTATGAAAATGCCAGTTCTAGGGTCCATTTTGGCTCAATGCAGATATCGAGACGCAAAATTGATGACGCTATTATTAACTCGGATAGCAATACATATAATATAGAATCAATATTGACATATTGTGATTGAATTCATACCCAAATTCATACCTTGTGTTGCAATATGTTGACCGCTCACGTCGAGAAAATCACAAAATATTTTCATTAAACTACATGCCAGCGAACGAACGATGTAATTTTCCGAAGGTAAATATCTCAATAGCCCGTTCAGTCTTTGCTCAGCATCTATTGAATTCTGAGGCTTAAATTTTGGACAATTTGCTAACTCCGTAATCAATTTAACTTGAGCATTTATCGTTAAGGCCTCGGAGGGATGTAGTTGTTCCAATTTCGTCATAACATCTGCAAAATCAACGGAGTTCTGTTCAATTTCCTTCAATATTTCACTCCTTAATTCCGCCATTTTGTTTTAATTTTCCACGCAAAATAAATGTTTGTCTGAGGGTTACTTCATATAGACTACTTTATAAAGTCTTTCTGTTTGTCCGTTTGTTTTGTCACGTTGATCGATTTTTTCGGTAGATTTTTTAGCCAGAAAGGTAATTTAAACTTTGACTTACTTTGGGCTCTTTACTGTAAATATGCTCTAAGCTTTAACCTGGCTTTATTATAACTTTATTGGCACCCATCTAGTTAATTTTGAAGATCAAAGCGCGACTTGCACGCGAGATTACGCGCGTGTCGTTCACGACAGGACACGATGCTTCCACTGCCGCTTTTGCGCGGGAAATTTCAATTTCCAATTATGATTTTATCATTCGTCCATGTTTTAGAATTTGTTTACTTGAGAAATTTATTGTACAGTTTTTGTTTCAAAATTACTTTCTAGCTTACAATGGAAGAAGAAAAAGCAAGCGAAGTGAACAACAAATATATCAATTTAGACGAATTTCACAAAAATTCAGGGGGAACATTTGATATGAACTCACTAGTGCCAGATATGGCCAAGGCAGAACCATGTTGTATGGGAATTGATGAAGCTGGCCGTGGGCCTGTGTTAGGTAAGGGGAAGGCTGTTTGGGTGATGGGGTTGTGTAAAGTTTGGGAGTGTTTATATTGAGGTGTGTCAGCTGCCGTTCCATGGCAACTTAGGGGCTGATTACATCATTTACATGGAGAACTTTCAACCCCGGGCCGGGGTTGAACTCAGCCCTGTTAACCAGGTTGAAATGTTTTGCAATTCATGGATAATTTCAACCCTGGGGTTGAAACACTATACTATACGTTCTCGACATTGATTCCCGGAAGTAAAAAAGCCTTCATTTTGTTTTCTTGTAATAAATAGTCACTACCACGCATGCTCAAATACAAGGGGCATTTCACTCCAAAAAAGCGTACGGGATTTTCGGATTTTTAAAAATCCGCGGATTATTTAGCGGATTTTCCCCGGATTTTTAGCGGATTTTTGAAGAGAAAATCTGTTGGATTTTCCGGATTTGTTCGGATTTTTTCCGGATTTTTTGACGAAGTGTACGGGATTTTTGGAGTGAAATGCCCCTCGCTCAAATAAGTCATGATGATTTCAGCCCTGGGTTGAAGCGACTACATGACAAAATTTTCAACCCAAGGCTGAAATTCCAACCCTGCTAGCTGAAACAGGGTTGAAATTTCAACACCGGGGGTTGAACTCAGCCCTGGGTTGAAAATATTGTCATGTAATCACGTGTTTGATTTTGATAGAGTTTTGTATTACAGACAGGGCTGAAATTTCTACCCGGTAAACAGGGCTGAATTCAACCCCGGAGTTGAAAATGCTCCATGTAATCAGCCCCTTATTGACTCTTATTGTAAAAGTTACCTGTGCTGGACCATATGGCTGGACATGACTGTTCTCCTGGTTTGAAATGTGTTCACATGATGTTGTTCAAGTGGGCAGTGCACTAAAACCATTGAGCTATGTATACAATTTTGCAAAATCCAGGGGTGTGCAGAAATTGTGGCGGGCTCAAAATGAGTGTTGGTCAGTGGTAATTACCATGGGAAATAGGACCCAGTTCTTGAGTGGCATTAATATGGCATCAGCAAATGTCAAACTCCGTCAAGTATTTTCTGACACTTTTTGCCAAGCACTCTCGTAATAGACCTTATGCATAATGATGTCACAAGGCTTGATGCCCGCGAGGAATGCTGGTCTTAATAGTCATTGTGTGGGAAAATTTCCGATAGTGGCCATTTTGAATTATTTAATTTTCCCGGGCGATCACGACCAAGACCAGCATTCCTTGCAGGCACCAAGCCTTGTGACATCATTATGCATAAGGTGTATTGTATAGCTTGAATGATTGGGACCATTGCTCAAAACATTGAAGTTTATGATTTACACTACACAACTTTTGCCTAAAACTGTTGCATGCAACCTGCTTACAACTTGAGTTGTACTTTGTAAATCAAGCACATGACTTGTCAACATTGTCATAGGTAGTTGTATCTTATTATATAGCTCATCTATATGTTCCAGTTCACCTAACCCTTCTAGGATTACAAAGCCCTAATGATAGACTTGACATATAAAATTAACACTTTATAAATTACAAATTTTTAGGGCCAATGGTATACAGTACAAGTTATTGTCCATTATCTCAAGATGAAAAGCTGAAAGAATTGGGGTTTGCAGGTTAATTAACTAACACAACCAATTATTACTGTCTGCTCATAATTTACGAGTTTCAGTAAGCATCAGCGAGCCGCATATGGTGGTTGACTGCAGAAAATGATGAGACAGATGCAAGAGAATTAACCCATTGAGCACCAGCGTTCTCCCCTTGACAATGGTCGGCTTTGGACAGAGTAAAATAATAAAGTACTAGGGCATATTGGGGTGTAATGAGACTTAATGGGTTAACTAGACACATGGGCATATAGACTGATTAACCCATTGAGCACCAGTGCTCAATCCCCCCATGACGTGTAAAATTGGAATAATAAAGTAGGACACATTAGGGTGCGATGCAACTTAATCAATTTTGCATCAAATACATAACTTTGACATATTGAAGATAATTAGTTCACTCTTGTAACTGCTGGTTGATCACATATTTGCTGCACAATAGTGCTTAGTGAAACCCACCTACACAAGACAAATAATTAAATATCAACTTGTAGATTCTAAGACATTGAATGAAGAACAACGTGAAGGATTATTTAAAACAATCAATGAAAATAGTCAAATTCTTGGCTGGATCACAAGAGTACTTTCTCCAAACTATATCTCAAATGAAATGTTGAGAAGGTGGGTGAATTTCAACAAAGCCTAGAGAAGCCGAGGTAGCCATTGTTTGTATTAAATGTAACAGTTCTTTGTCCAGCCTGTGAACAGTCTAAAGCATTTCTGTCTAGAGTTTTCCAATTTTCAAATTTGGACCACCCCTCCCTCTCTCAAATTGTCCCCTTCATCTTTCAAATTTGAACCACAATCCCCCTCTCTCAAGCCACCTCTCATCTTTCAAATTTGGACCACCACCCCTCTCTTAAGTTGTGCTCCTCCCCCTCATTTTTCAAGTTTGGACCACCACCCCCTTTTTGAAGTTGCCTCCTCATTTTTCAAGTTTGGACCACCACCCCCCTCCCTCAAGTTGCCCCTTCATTTTTCAAGTTTGGACTACCACCCTCTCTCTCAAGTTGCCCTCTTATTTTTCATGTTTGGACCCCACCCTTTCTCTCAAGTTGTCCCCCTTCATCTTTCAAATTTGAACCACCTCCGCTCCCAAGATCTTTTATTCTTCAAATTTTATTTGGACCTACCCCTTCCCCTCAAGTACCCCCCTCTCAACTAACCCTCCCCCCTGAGCTTATGATGGCCATAATTTGATATTCTAATTATCAGGACAAAGAACAATTTAAACCAAATATCTCATGACACTGCAATCTGGTTGATCAAAAGTGTCCTGGAAAGTGGCGTGAATTTACAGCAGGCAAGCATGTTTTTGGATATTTATAATTTGTCTGTCATCTTTATTGCTCTTGTTTTATTGCGGGGAAACCAAGATGCGAAAGAGTGGCCGACAATTTTCACATATTTCACATTTATTACATAGGTTCAATTCCAGCAGCATATTATGCCAAGAAATATTAGGGAAAACGTTTTTGTGGGTCAGAATTTGAATTCGTACCGTAGGTCAAGACTAGCATGGTCTAAAATTTTGGAAAATTATTAGAGGTCAGAAAAAAGGTTAAACTACTATCTGCTATACGTTAATGCTTCGTTAAACCAACCTATTGTGAACAGATTAGTTATTTTTATGCATCCTTTAACTTTACAAACGTATACCATTCAGTTGTCTCACATGTCCTTTATCACTTCTGTGACATGAGGTTGATAACTGCTTATGTAAGTTCCTGCAGTCTAAAATTTCATGCTTTCCACATGTACTTTCTTTAGAGACACGGCCAACTTGCCTCCTGAAAGTGCCTCTGATTGATTTACATATTTATTGACATATGACTGTTGACATTGTTTTTTAGTATTCAATATTTGAGCCATTAATCCATTTACCCAACTTTTTACTCACTCAAAATTTTGTTTACCCAACACTTTTCTCTAGTCTGTGCCGCCCCCCGCCATAAATAATGACTGGTTTCTAAACAAAAAATAATGAAAAGTAATTTCTTTCCCAGGTATATGTGGATACCGTTGGTGATCCTAACAAATACCAGAAGAAACTAGAACTCGAGTTTCCACAACTTGAAATCACAGTCAAAGCAAAGGCTGATGCTCTGTTTCCAATTGTGAGCGCTGCCAGTATCTGTGCTAAGGTAAATATCTGCGCGGTAGGCTAATATCCAGACGACTCTCCGGCATCAACTCTCATGCAACTCCTGTTCTCGTTTGCAGACCGGGGCATGAGAGTTGAGAAAACTCTCATGCAAACTCTCGCTTCTCAACTGTCATATAGTCCACTCTCATGCAACTCTCGTTCTCGTTTGACCCGGGGCATGAGAGTTGAGAAAACTCCCATGCAAACTCTCGCTTCTCAACTCTCATGCAACTCTCGTTCTCGTTTGACCGGGGCATGAGAGTTGAGAAAACTCTCATACAAACTCTCGCTTCTCAACTCTCATGCAACTCTCGTTCTCGTTTGACCCGGGGCATGAGAGTTGAGAAAACTCTCATGCAAACTCTCGCTTCTCAACTCTCATGCAACGCTCGTTCTCGTTTGACCGGGGCATGAGAGTTGAGAAAACTCTCATACAAACTCTCGCTTGTCAAGTTTCTCCCTCGTCAGTTTGGGGTTTTCTTTACGTTGTTACTAAAAAACGTTTGTGTTTTAGGTTGCAAGAGACAGAGTTATCCAAACCTGGACATTTATTGAAAAAGTTTCCTTTCCAACGGCATACGGGTGTGGCTACCCCTCAGGTATAATTTGCATTAACGCGTTCATGCGAAGAAGATATTATTTCATATCGAGTATCAATATCTTTTACCGAACACTTCTTTTTTCTTGTTGTTTTTGGTCTTCCGATGCGTATCACATGCAGTATTGAAAAGGTTACTATATTATTACTTAAACTGCAATTTATTCATGCTCGCAAAATGTTTTATACTAGAGAAGTGTTTTCTCTTTCATTCTCTAAAACTTGTATACCCAAATGCTCATTTGCAGTTTACGATACTGCGAGCGGTAAATTAATTTGCAATCAGTAGTTTGTCGTTTATACTATTTTTTTAAGCTAAATATCTTAGAATGTTTGAGACTGGCGCGCGAAAGGCACAGGTATACCAGAAAAGTGTAAAACAGCAGAGGATAAAGGATAAAAGAAAAATAGAAGGAACCTTTGATTCGAAACTCCATAGTTTTACTTGAGACGTGACGCTATCAAGTTATGCAAAACGTGTACCATTTAGATCCAGCGACCAAGAAATGGTTGGCCGATATAGTTGACAAGGTTTTTGGATTCCCACAGTTCGTAAGATTTAGTTGGTCGACTTCTAAAGATATCTTGGAGAAACAGTGTGCTCCTATTGAATGGTACGATATCTTTTTTTAATTTAGAATTATACTGCATTGTTCTTTTAAACTCGATTAGATCTTCTCTAATAAGCTGCATGCATAACTCACTGTTAATTTTAACTCCAGTTGTTATTTTAACCCCACTAGTTAAAACCACTCCCTTTGGGGGAGTAAAAATTTTGGACTTAAATCTACACCAAAAATGGATTTAAAACTACTCTACCTCAACATGTATTTCAAAATTTACTCCGCTTGGAGTCGATTTAACTCCAATAAAGGAGTACATTTTAGTAGTATAGGGAATGAGGGTTCTAGACCACTTTTTCGGCCCGCGATTTCACCCAACTTCCGGTCAGCGGTTTCCATATTTTTCCCTCAAAAACGCGGGCTCATATTTTTCTAGACCATTTTTCTATTATTTTTGGTATTATTTTTTCTATTATTTTTCTAGACCATTTTTTATCTATTATTTTTCAGAATTATTTTAATCTTTATTATCATATTTAATTATACTCAAGGGGCCTAGGCTCTTAGGGTCAAACACATTACTTGAATCATCTTTTTTATCTTGTGTGCTCACTCCAATGTTAATATTATTTGATACAGAGAAATTTATATCACCAGCCTTTCCATTCTTACTAGAACTCTTACGACAACCACAAATCTTACCTAAGCAGGAGAAGCATGACCTCCACCTTGACATCTTATCTTATGATAAACCACATGTTAACTACCTGACCCCGAATATCGGAGTGACCAGCAAAAGGACATATCCATGCTAGTACCAGTGGGCATTGAGTGTTCAGGTTTAACTATAATACACCAGGCTAGCGTGTTATCTACCAACTCAGCCTGGGCTCCTAAATAGAACATACTATTACCCTTGAAAACGTAGCAAGCTGTACTTCCACCGGTAGTTGTGTAAGTTCCATTAAACCAAGTGTGTGACAGTCTTCTTAAGTCAACCGTGGCAAGAGTGATTTCCTTTTTAACCTGTGTAAATTTTCCGTTAGATTGTTTTTCCCATACAGTAGCCCACAGGATCAAAGGTAGGGGTATATTTAGAACAGTTGAAAAACGTGGGTAGTCTGTTTTTATAGTTATTGACTCAAGGTTCAGGTCTGCCATATTATTAATAGGATCTGTTCTCCATGAAGGTGGAATCTGATCGTGACAGTAAGCGTAGTACCTTGTTGCTGCAACTGAACCACCACGATAACCCCAAATCCATTCTGCATGTATATGTCGCCGTATTCTTACATATCTTAAGTCAGCCGTTGCTTGAGTAAGACCAGTTGAAGGTTTTAGGAAATTCTTTTCTACCCACTGTTTGTTAACAGCGTCCTTGTCATTTACAGGATCCTTCAGATCAAGAATTTCACTTGAATCTCCCATATCCAAATCACCTTTTACCAGTCCACCTCTACTACTCATGAACTCATCTGTTGCCCATTTCTTATTAACAGCTGAACCGTCAGTAGTAGGATTTCCAACCCTAGTCAACTCGTAATCGTTAACATCTAAGTTACTAGCTAAAATGCCGCCATCACGCTTAAGAAACTGTGAACACCAAGAAGTCATAGAACCGTAAGAAACGGCACTAGAACCTCCTGTTGACCCACTATTTAGTCCTGTAATAGTATTACCACCCATGTCAATATTACCGCTCATAGTAAAGCCACTACTACTTACAGAACTCCCACTGACATGATCCGCGACCCATTTCTTAGACACGGCAGAATTATCAGTTGTAGGAGCTCCAACATTTATTATTTCATTTCCACCCATTTTAAGGTTACCTATCATTGCTCGCGAACCGCTAAGTTTTAGTAAGTTATTTGAGTACCTTTTAAGATACTGCAATCTTACAAGACTATCTGAGTTTCCAGGGTCGGAGTTACAGCTGGGTGCATTGCTGAAATTAACAGTACCACCAACATTTAGGGATCCTGTTCCATCTAACCGCAAAAATGTTCCTTCATTTAAATTAAACCATGACTTTGTAACAACAGCCTGGTCAGTAGTAGGATCACCGGCATTCTTAATTTCATGTCCACCCATGTTAATATTACCTGCCATGGTAAATCCGCTACTACTAATAGAACTTCCACTAACATGATCAGTGACCCATTTCTTGGAAACAGCAGAATTATCAGTTGTGGGAGTACCTAGTTTTATTATCTCATTGTTTCCCATATCAAGATCATCAGACAGAGTAAGTCCACTGTAAGTTTCACGCCTTTTACGACCACCGCTAATCTTATCTTCCACCCATTTTCTGGAAACAGCAGATTTATCGGCACTAGGAGCCCCAATATTTTTAATTTCATTACCTCCCATATGAAGATCACCTGTCATTACATTTGAACCGTCCAGTTTCAAGGCAAAGCGTGAAATTTGGTTAACCACAGTTTGAATATTGGGAATAGCTATTTTTGCACCAAGGTTGTTGGTCGTATAGATTGAATTACCATTTGCAATGGTTAGATCACCATTTAGAGTGAATCCTGATGTAACCCACCTTTTACTAACAGCAGATGTACTCGAACTAGGATCACCAACATTTTTAATTTCATTTCCACCCATATTAAGATCACCTGACATTGTAAAACCAGAGGTGCCAGGAATCGTAGACAGCTTATTCTCAACCCAACCCTTAGATACAGCTTCACTGTTAAGTTTAGGCTCTATAAGATCAAATAACCTCCAACCTCCCATGGACACATCTGCTTGCATAATTCCACCTTTTAATCTAAAGTTATTATCGACCACCCACTTCTTTGTGACAGCTGACTGGTCCTCGGAGGGATCCTTAAGATTCTTAATCTCGTGGTCTTCATATCGATATCCCCAGCAATATTAAGTCCAGTTACAGGTCTATTTAGCATTCCAACTACCCAGTCCTTACTAACAGCAGACTTTCCAGTTGTAGGATCACCTAAAGCCTTTATTTCATTTGTTGACATATTGAGGTCATTTGTAAGGATAAGTCCAGGTAGACTTGCGTGTGCATGTCTGCGGCTACCCTCAACCCAGCTCTTACTAGCAGCATCACCTGGGTTAGTAGGATTATCAAGATTAGTTATCTTATTACCTCCCATGTTGATATCCCCAGTCATTGTAAACCCTGCTGGTTGAATTGTAAGAGCAGCCTGTTTAACTATCTCATCATCCACCCACTTTCTTGTGGTCGCAGAAGTATCATCTGTAGGTGCACCCAGACCTTTTACCTCATTACCATCCATCTCAATGTCGCCCTTCATGGTAAATCCGTCCTTATCAAACACACTACCACTTGATGGATCAACTTTATTTACTCCTTTGTTGTATCCCCTATAGAGAGCCATTTTATAACATACACAATGTTTACAAGATAATTTTCATTAGAATAAATACAACTACAGCACCAATCCCAGCTCCAGCGATAGCGTTAACTCCTGAAGACTCATGGGTACTAACCGCATCATGTTTCATGATAGGAACAACTTGAGTCTCAGAACTTATAGAACCTTCCTGAGGCTTAACTCTTGTAGGACCTCCCGGAACCTTTTTATTTCCATCAATAGTATCAAGGTGGTGAACTGGTGTATTGTCTTGATGCTGTTTCTTTGGGGGATTAGCCTTCTTAACCCCAACATAATTAAGTTCGGTATTAACTCCTCTTTTCATATCCTTTGTTGTGTTTTTTAGAATATTGTTATACCCAGGTATAGGCTTACTTAGAATTATGAGACTTGACGGAATCAGAACAGTTCCAGGGGTGACGGCTGTGTTAAGTACAACATTTGTGTCTCTAATAGCAATTCTCATATTACCTAGAGTTACAACAGGATCAGCTTGAATAACGCAATCATTTACCAGTGCGCTGAACTTAACCTGGGTAGCAGACGACTTTCCATAGCTTCCAGTGATAGGTGATCTGGTAGCTGCCTGTGCACCTAACACAGAGTAAACGTAAGCTTCAATTGATTCCCCTAATAGAAGTAAGCCAGTTTTTGTAAGTCCAAAATACGGATCAGTCTGAGTACTAACAAACCTTAAATAATCAGACTTACTAACAAGTGCAACAGATACCCTTTCCTCATAGTGTACACGAATTCCTTTTAGAAACCCATTAACAGTCATAACTGAAGAATTGGTTACATTTCTTACAGGATTGCTACCATCACCCCTACCCTTTATCCAGTTACTTTTTTCCCAGTCGAGTCCATAATCGTATACAACATCATAATAATCACTTTTCTTCACCCACTTACCCTTAACTGGTATATGCTTTTTAATAGAATCCAACATATCCATATAGGGAACTAATCTTTCAGGTTTGTACACATACTTCCTAATACAGTAGTAAAGGTGAAAGTTCATTATACTTGTTATCACAGGGTAAGTATCATTACTAGAAGTAAGATGACCACTTGTGATTCCACATAGGTACGTTGCGATATATGCGCCACAAAGGGCTGCAAAGTAGGGTTTTTTGTAGTCAAACACTGTACTTACACCATCAATCTTAATACTGTCTTCAATTTTAGGAAGCATATTTCCGCCGGCCTCCCCGGAAGTTACAAAGAAGCTTTTACCGTCCACATAAACCTTGAATGAATGTGCAGGAGTGTTCCACCCAATCCTAGGAAACCAGCTGAACCTATCAAATGTATCGTTGTTGTTTAACCTAGCTTTTACATCAGAACCCAACCTCCACTTTAGAGGCCAACCGTCAACTAAACCTAGAATCTCACTTTTTGTAACCTTTGTATCAGTCATAGGTATAAACTGTGCGGGGGTAATAATTTTCTTAGTACCTGTGAGATAAGATGTAAACTCCTTATCCTTCTTAAAACCGTCGTACCTAATATCATACGAAGATATACCGTCTAAATCAACAAACCAAGTGACAACTCCTATATCACCACTACTTGTAGTCATAGCTTCAAACCTAAACCTGTCCATATCAGCCTTAGGATACCTTCTAACAAATCTAGCCCTTTCGGCATTCTCAGCTTTTTTACCAGCAATGGGATCAACATTATTTTCATCTTTATTTCCATACTTTTTTTCATAATCTTGGTAAGACCTATACGGTGACTTCCCAACGTCTCCTCCACCTAGT